GCTAGCTGACTCAAAGTTAGAATAATTTCTCCCTCGGATTTCCTTTTATTGTAACGAATAGGTCCCTGCAGTTGTGAGGCAAATGCAATTTCTCAGCTATGGAACCAGGCATGTACACAGCTGGGGATCTGCCTGCTTGGATGTCCATATCCTCTTGGAGCCCATTGGAACATAAAACATAAAGTAATGGCAAGCAAAATAAAGAGTCAGCATGTCCAAATTTTTTTTAAAGATTTAGAAACAAAGTTTCTAATTTTTTTAAATTTTTATTTATTTATGATAGTCAGAGAGAGAGAGAGAGAGAGGCAGAGACACAGGCAGAGGGAGAAGCAGGCTCCATGCACCGGGAGCCTGATGTGGGATTCGATCCCGGGTCTCCAGGATCACGCCCTGGGCCAAAGGCAGGTGCCAAACCGCTGCGCCACCCAGGGATCCCCAAATTTTCTAAGTAGAAGAGGGGGCAGTGGAGGAAAAGAAGAAATGCAGTGACAGTGAAAGAAGTGTAGATTTGGGTTGGAGTGTTCTACAGTATATCTGGTTGCAAAATGCTTGGCACCTTATCTAGAATGCAAACTTCTTGAGGACAGGAGATTTGGCTTCTTACAACTATGTCCCTAGGAATTTAGAGCAGTGCCCAGTATATAACAGGTGCTCAAATTATTTTTTGATTAAATGTTCTAGCACTGCCTATTATAACTCATACGAGACAATGAAGAGAAAAAAATTGCTTTTCTGAACCAAATTCAGATCAGCAAGGAAGGAAGGCCTGGTGAAGAAGACAGGGGAAAGTGTTAATATCATCTGAGTTCCTGAGCCAGGGCATAGTAGCCTGCCCGTAGCCAAATGAGCAGATGAGTCTTGGGAGAAATAGATTTCAAAATGTCAGAATATGGTAATGAGCCCAAGATCATAAATAGGATGGGCAGACCCAAGAGCAGGAGAAGACACTTAGAATTCTGAATCTCTGGTCATGATCTCAGGAAAGGAGAGAAAAATGATTTAAAGAGACAAATGTGGGTGTACAGAAAACTTTCCATTGAGTTGGTTTGCAACAAATTTATGCAAAAGGTGGAAGGTGAGCAAATGAGCAAATGCAAACTACCACAAAACAGTAACCTATAAGAGTAGTGTTTGAAGCCTAAAGTCCAGAATGAGTCGTGTGCAAAATGAATTAGAGCCAATAAAAGTATCTTTTGCTTTGTTTTAACCTTCTGTCTGTGCAAAACCAGAACATGGGAATAGTAGTATCATCACTTATATTTGACCAGTGGTTCTCCAAGTATGTTCTTTGGACCACCAGCACCAGCATCACCTGGAAAAGTGTTACAAATATAAATTACCAGCTCCCACCCTGGACTACAGAGTTAAAACTTGGGCAGGGGTGAGGGAATGGCTCAGCATTGTGTGTTTCAGTAAAGCCACCAGGGAATTATGATGCTCACTAAATCTCAAGACACACTAGACTAGAACATTAATACTCCACTCTACACATGGGAAGCTTGTGGAGAAAAAATAATGACCAAGCTTTACCCTAGACCAATTAAAATGGCCTCTCTGTGGTGGGCTCTGGCCATGGATATATTTTAAAGCCTCTTGGTGAAGTGAATGTACAATCAGAGTTGAGAACCAAACTCCAGTTCAGATACCAGATACCATCATATCCCCAAGGAGTTTATTAGAAATGCAGAGCCCTAGGCCCTCCTGCTGAATGAGAATCTACAGTTTTAAAAAGATCCCCAGGTGATCGATAGGCACATTAATGTTGGGGAAGCATTTATATAAGACAAAGGAAAGAAATCAGAATTTGTACCCTGCATCCACTTTATTGATTTACTAATTTCTTTTAAAGAGGTAAAAAAAAAAAAGACAAAAAAAGGATAAACACATTGACACATAAGACATGATGCTTAGTAAACGTTTGGGGTCAGAGAAAGGCAGATGCCAGGAAGACCTTGTGAGAGAGAAACAGGTATTCTGTAAGCCTTCAGTGCTTGAATTGCCCATATACCACTTTCAAGCATACTTGGGTGGGGACAACTGGGTGGCTCAGTGGTTGAGCGTCTGCCTTTGGCTCAGGGCTTTGTCCTGGAGTTTTGAGATGGAGTCCCATATCAGGTTCCCTGCATGGAGCTTGCTTCTCCCTCTGCCTGTGTCTCTGCCTCTCTCATGAATAAATAAATACATAAATATAAAAAAAAACAAAAAACAATATTTGGGTTATTCATTAGCCAGCAAAATAGCCCAACAAAATAAATACATAAGGACAAAATCCGGTTGGCAACCACTGTGTAATCCCAGGGTGTGGTGATAAGTTTGGGAGTGTAAAGATATCAGAATTATTCCATAGGTTCCAAGGTGTGCCCTGTCCTCCCCTCTCACCTGGAGGACTTCTAGGGAACGGGAGTGTGCCCAGAGTCTGGAGATGGTGCAACATGGCCAGAACTTCAAATGAGGAAGACCTTAGGAATAACTTAAGAACTTGATTTGATTCTGTGGTAGGATTGCAGGGAAGATGATCAAGCCAGTGTCTTATTTCTTAATACTGAGGAAAAAAGACAGCCTTAGAAGCCATTCATGGTTCCTGAAGTAATAGGATTATTGGTCTGTCTTAGGTTTTGTGATAGAGAAACAGTGTGAACGTAGGTATGTTGATTTTCCTAAGACATGACAAATGTCCTTTGCTTTGGTTCATTTCTTATTATTTTTTATTAGGCACAAGAAAATAACACAGGGTGATTGTTCCTGTTGTTTTGGCGGCTTTCTCATTAGAGCAATAGCCATACCTATAGCTACCTAATGCTGATTAATGCACCAAAGTCAGCCTCGTCATGGGTCTCTGGTAGAAGCCTCCAAGGCCCTGCTCTAGGCTTTATCATTTTCCAGAATATTAGCACTACCTTCGCTGAGAGTTAGTAAAGCAGATTTATCACTACCATGACAGTTGGAAGGATAGAGAACAGATACAAATATCAGCATCTAAACACATTCAATTGAGGGCATGATAAAGCAAATTTTACAAAAGGATAATTTATAGAAGAAAAATGTCAAATGGGAAATAATATAGCAGCAGCAACTAGAGGAGGAGGGATTGAGGGATTTTAGTTCATTGGAGCCTAATTGTTTTTATTTGTGTGAAGTGGTGGCCAAAAGTGCTGCTGGATACCTTAGGCATTAATCATTCTGACAGCAAAGAAGTGGTACTTCTTCCCTACTTGGACCCCAGCCACTCCACCCGGAGCAGTGTTGTAGGTTATTGTGTTTAGACTTGGTTAGCACATTTTGATCACAAAGTTAATATTTGGAGCAAGTTCATATAGAGTGGCCTGATGGATGAAAAGACCTGAATCCATGTCCTATTGATGTTGTAAGATGAAGACATGAAGGGTCCCAGGAGCATGGGGATGATACATATAAAGTATACAATATATATTAAATGTATATATGCATATATAGTCTATATATGTATATATAATCTACATAATGTATAGATAATATATGTAAATGGTTCCTTATATCGGGCTACAGAAGCTTTAATTTTTATCCTTGTCATTATCTTGATCACTGTTACCTCAATCCTACCCTGAGGATCCAGGAGCAGAGCAAAAGTCCTTGGCAGTATCTCTTTCCAATCCTAAATGAAATTGCTTTTGTTATTTCTCTTGCACTCTTGTTTGTACATTGGAATCATCGGGAAAGGCTCTTACATGATTTCTTTGTGAAACAAATTGTTTCTCCTACATGGCCGGAAGTCAGCCTGGCTTGTCCGTGTGCTATTTTACAGATTGTGTTTGCATGTCCGGAATGAGAAAGCACCGCGCACTTCATTTCATTTTTAAGACAGGATTAACATCCATGGTGGTGCTGATGGTAGCTGACACATGTGGCGAGTTAACCAAGCGCCAAGCAGTGTTCTGAGCCCTTTACGTGGATTTTTTTCTACTAATCCTCCTAACTCTATGTGATATGTAGTAGTATTAGTTTGTTTTCCAGTGGAGGAAATGGAGTATTCAGAATGTTTCTGTAACTTCCCCCAGGATAGCTAGCAGGAGGGGAGCCAGGTCTCACATTCAGTTGTCTGGCTCTACCACTTGAAAATGTGAGAGCACTCACATGTGCTGTGATTAGCTCTTTATCTTATTGGTCTATTGTTTGAAGGATGTTTAAGGGATAAGAAAGGTGGGAGATATTTTAATTTTCCTCAGTGTGATACTGAAAAGAGATTTCTAGTCTTTGTATACACATTTTCTGGGCAAGACGTTGGTGGATTCTAGAGATAGTAGAAAATTAGTCACAAGTAGATCTGCAATGGGCCATTTAAATCCACTTAAATGGATTTTGGGGTCCTTCCCTGAGTGTCACCCTCTGTAAACAGACATTCTTTTGTGCTCGTGACACCCAACTTAGTGTGAGTTTATCCGTGAGGGTATTTCCTATATTTGAGTGTTTGGGGAATCCCAAGTCTTAATGTTACTGTCAACATAGCCACCATATTTGTTTGAAAGTATAGATAAATGTGCTATTTTAGTAATCTTTACTTAGGTCCTTAGGTTAAGTTTCACAAAGATATTTGTCTTTGTACTCACTTGCGCCCAGATTGTTCATTGAAACTAATATTTCTTTATTTTCTCTTCCCTCTAACACTTTCACTATTTTTGATGAATAACTTACTGAGTCAATGTCTGAGGGTTGTCAGGCCTCTGATTTTAAGGAAACTGCACGGGTTTTGTGATACTCTCTTGTTTGTGAGAGCATTTAGTACCTCTGGGTTTATCATTTGCATTTCAGATAGAGCTTTACTTGTAAGCTAAGACTTGTTTCTTTTAACAAGCTGAGTTGTTTTCATTGTTCCCTAACTTAAGATTTTATAAAATAAGCTGTAACTAAAAGGGGATAAACAACTAAAAATATTTATTTCAGGAAATAAAAAAGTTAACCAAAGTATTTTATTGGTACATTCTTGGACAATATCACAGAATTGAAAGAATGGAAAGGGGGAATTTTTCAGCAAGGGTGTTTTTCCACTAAATTGGCACATAAGCAGCAAGATTAACGAAAGTACTTATTACAAACAGTAAAAAACATACATGCTTTTTTTTTTAAAGTCCTTATCACACAGGTCAGTCATAGGGGGGCATGAACAAAACCTCAAGACATGAAAAATCCATATTCTTTTCTTCAAATAGCTTAACCATTATTAAAATTATTGCAAAATATCCATATACCTTAATTAAAATAACAAAAGAGAACACAAATACAAATATTGAACATAAATTATTAACATGTACTGTAAAATACATTACTGGCATGCATTCCAAAGATCAAGACCTCTATTCAGTTCAGCCAATACTTTCCTTTCATGGGACCTATCCTTATACCAAAGATAGGCAGGGCATACTTTCTCAGCACAGTTTTTGGTCTTTAATTATCTTTTTTGTCTTAAAAAAATAACATGATTTGCAGTGGTACAATAATCATAATTATACAGTCATTACATATGTGGTTTTAATTTCCTTTTTTTTTTTTTAGTCTGCCGAGATCTTTTTAACATTTGAATTGTTTCAAATTTTTTTCCACATATTCTGCTGTCTGAGAGAATAGGGCTCTATGGAAACAAGGCATTCGAAAACAAACAGTGAACCGAGGTACAACATCAGATGGCAAAGTGCAAAAGTCCTCACAAACTGTACAGAAAATTTCAAAACCTTGCAGTCTGGAAGTACATACGTAGAAAGACAAGTCAGCCCCAAAACGTTCACTGTGGCTCTCGATGGGTCATCCTAAAGAGCCTGGGTGGGACTTGAGTCTCAACACTCCCTGTGGTAGGGAAGGTCCGAAATTGCAGCCAAGTTGGCAGTGCTGATGCCAGTGACTTATTAAGCCAAGATAAAGTAAGAATATTTCATAAAGCAGCTGTGTAGGACACTTGGATCCTCTAACGTTGGTCTCCTGGCCGGGGATGCTCCTCCAGTGATGGGCAGCGGGCAGGACCAAAAGAGTCCTATGCCAGGTTGGGTGACAAAATAACTGAGGGTCTTCCTCCTCCTTGGTTCCATGGAATGAAACAGGTTAGATAACCAGGTTATTATAACTGACATACTTCTTTTTTGCAGCAGGGCCTGAAAAAAAAAAGCAAAAGAGTCTATTGTAGCAGTGACCTTATTTGTAAAGGTAGAAACGGAATCAGATCTGGGATGATTTGGGTGCAAATCACGATGTCAAGAGGGAACAGTGCACCACTGAGGAACACACAAATCACTTTGGATTCCTAGGATCCTTTCTAAGGTTTTGTCTACTAATATCTGCAGTGCCCAGCAATTCTCAAACCATCTGTACTCTCTATTCTGAGATGTCTCCAACTTCCCTCTTTATGGTTTGCAATGGTTAGCTAATTAATTAGTGGATGCCATGCTTTCTAATTAGCCGACCCTAAGCTTAAAGGGCCCACCCATGCTGCAGTATATTTTGTTGTGTGCTCTCTGAGACCTTCTCATAATAAATGGGCTGTTGCTCGGGATGGGTCTGTCCTGGTTCATTGTGATTAATTTCAGTTTGACTACAGAGTAGGTCAACCAGAGCACCTTCTTCGGTTTAGGATTCACACCATCAAATTACTAGTGATTGACTTGCACGGCATTGTGATCAGTAAGTTGTAAATGGTAATTTGTGGAACTATTTCCATCAAAGTTTGAGGCTCACTTAAATCTTACATACATACCCTGTATTTGTTTTCTTTAAAGATAGAGTGAGTTACTTTTCTATTTGGTACAGTGATTCGAGAGCCCAGCTCTACTTATTCATTCATTCATTCATTCATTCATTCATTCATTTAGCAAATATGTGTCAGTTGCCTATCATATGCCAGACACGGGGCTAGGCACTGCTGAGCAGCCGATGAGCAGATCAGACCCTTTCTTGTCCTCATGATGGAAACAAGGACACCAAGATCCCGATGTATGACTGATTTATATTATACTCTAGTTCTCAATACCAAGTAATACAATTGCTGTGACGTGACATGTTCTTTATTCATTAAACCTTAGTAGTTTTGCATCAGCTTCTGTTGGACGCAAAGTAACTGTCACATAGCATTTACTGACGGCTTATTTTACTCACGGTTTTTTTATGCTAAGTAGTATTGTCCAATTAACATACACAAATAACAAGAATTCTTCTAGACTTCTTGAGTAGGGATTCATATGGGAATTTAGAGGAATGGAAAGGCTACAATAATACTGAGAGAGAGTTTGTATTTGAACTTTGAGTATGTAATGCAGCCAGTATATTACACACACACACACACACACACACACACACACATTCATGTATAGTATATAAAAAAGCAGATTTCATTTTCTGGATTAAAAATTCAGACACTCCTTCTGGCAATTCTGATTTGAAGACTCAGACTCATTTCTTTATTAAATCACATTGCATTTATTAACTGAAATTAGAGGAGAAAATATAGTTATATGACATTAAGGGTCCTCTGGAAAATCTGGTCAGGAGCTGGGTCATGCTGCATCCTCCTTGATAAATACATGGTGTCAATAATGCCCCAGACTTCTAAGAAGGTTCCCATTGTTAACATAGCCTCCACTGATATGTTTGGTTTGAGTATAAAGAGAAAAATATTCTAGAAATGTTTTCTTTACTCTGAAGCCTATTTACAGTGTCATAGCTAGAAAACTCCAGGAGATAGTTGCAAGAAATAATCATAGCCTGCCTTGTCAAATGCCAATGTATTAATTATTCTCAGGACAAAGAGGTGGGGCAGAATCAAAGAAACAACCCAGAGGTTTATAATGACAAAAATATCTGAGTTTACCTCTATTGTGTGATTATTATGTGACTGTTTTCCATATAAGCATAGCTGTCTAGTGGAAAAAAAAAAGCAAAACATATTTGAAATTCCTCAAACAGGTTACTTGAAAACACCAATTTCTCTGGAAGAGCCTTCACCCAAAGAATAAGTAAGTTAGAAAATATTGTCCATATATCGTAAAGCTGAGTGTTGGTTTGTATTAAACAATCATTAACATGAGGTTATGTTGTAAAATATTCAAAATGATAATAGTAATAGAAATTAACTAATGGGGACGCCCTAGTGGCTCAGTGGTTGAGTGTCTGCCTTTGGTTCAGGGTGTGATCCTGGGGCCCCAGGATGGAGTCCCACGCCGGGCTCCCTGCATGGAGCTTACTTCTCTCTCTGCCTGTGTCTCTGCCTCTCTCTCTCTCTCTCTGTGTTTCTCATGAATAAATAAATAAAATATTAAAAAAAGAAATTAACTAATGCTTGGCATGGATTATCTTCTTGTGTTTGTAAGCTTTGAGATGAATGCTGTTCATAACCTCCACCTTACATAGGAGGGGTCTGAGTGTCAGAGGGACCAACATTCCAAAATGAGGCTAACGTTTGAATCTACACAGTTCATTATCCATACCACAGTAGGAAGACCATGCTGCTTTGGATTCACCTGACCCAGGTTCTGATCCAGCTATTAGAGCTTACTTACTTGAGAAGTGTGACCTAGACCAGTCCAATGACATTGAACTTCTCTGAGCCTTTGTAAAATTGGTAGAATAATTGTCACTCTGTGGCCTGTTGATGGCACAAATGTATGAACTATTCCAGTTTCTCATCTGATAACGTAATGCATAAAGGTATTTTTAAATTAAAAGTTCTATACAAATGATTATCCTCAATCCATGCTTTCTTGACAGAATATCTGGGGAACATTGCAGCAAAATGGTAATGGAGTTGTGCAGGTCCTAGAATGGTGATTTATATGCTTTTCAGAGCAATGCCCAATGTATTAAAATGTTTATTTTTAAAATATTCTAGCCTTATGAGTAAATAAGATAAGTACCAGTGGTGTGTGATAATTCCATTTATTTGAATAGCAATGTAGTTTATGGCCTAGAAAAGAAAATTGCTTAGCTCAAAATAGTTGTGCAGTGAAATACTTTTTAAGGAAATAAACTTATTGTATTTTAAAATAGAATTTTTTTCTCTTTAAAGCTACAAGTTTTAACTAACATTTGGGGTATATGCCATGGTCCCTATAGAATTTTTAAAGATTACCTACCTATATCAGTAGTTTTCAAAGCAAAGTATCTTGCAGAGTTGATGTTTATAATGAGGCAGTATAATGGATCGTGGTTTTTGGAATGAATTACTTTGCTATTTAAAAATGTTAAGACATTCCATCTTACTTTTGGTGTTTTGTCAAAATCAAACTAGATTTGGCATTAACTTCAATGAACTACTTGTTTTTCTTTAATTTCTCATGAGACTTTTTGTCTCATGCAAGTTTCATTTCTCAAGTTTGTTCCATGGAACACATATAACCTAGACTATAGAAGTGAAGAAAGAAAGAAAAAATGATAAAGAAGAAAGAGTCTCCTGGATAGTATAAGGAACACTGAATTATGGGAAACATAAATAAATATAAAATTTTGAATGAATAACATTAAATAGGGCTCTTTTCTCTATTCCATATTTGTTTTTTAAATAGTAAGGAATCGTGTAGCTCATTGACAATATTCCATATATTTCTGTGAGCTCTTGTTTTTAATAAGAATGTGTATGTAGATATATATACATATCAGTGTATGTATGAAGTGATTCAAATATCCAGAGAAAGTATAGACAATATCTCAGCCTTGAAAATAGAGCATTAATATATTTACCTCTTTGCTTTAGGTGCCCCTCCATCCACTCATAAGAAATAAAACATGGTCAAAGCCTTCCCTACCTCCCCAACCCCACTGCCAGTGCTTTTCTTCTTCCCAACCAAAACTATCAGTCTGATGTGGGTGGAGATGCATTTTTCCCAAAGAGGTTCATGCTGCTACAGCATGTGTAGCTGCCCATAAAATATAAAGAGTTTTGCTTTGTGTTTTTTAAATTGTACAAATATATCATTCTGTTTGTATCCATTTGCAACCTGTTTTTCATATAACATTGTGGTTTTAATATTTATGTCGATTTGGTAATCATAGTTACTATATAGTTTCCTGTATGGATATAGCAAGAATTTCTAATTCTTTTTAATTCATGGACTCTACTTACTTTATAATTATTACCAATAGCAAACAATGCTGGAATAAATGGGATCTGAAAACCAATACCATTTATAAAGTTAAATGAGAAAAAGTCTATAAACTAGGATAATTTATTTGTAGTGTATGTAACTGATAGATTGTTATACAAATTTTTAACATATACAAATTAATAAATAAGATCTATTTTTTAAAAAAAATGAACTAAAGATATCAAAAAGTAATTTGTAGATAAAAAAACACATGAAAACTGCTCAACCTTCTCACTTAGAAAAATACAAATTAAAATAATAATACGGCATTTCATGCCCAGTCATTACAAAAAGAGGTTATTTGCACTGATACCACAAACTAGTAAGGGTGTGAAGAAGTGAGGATTCTTAGACTAGTCTGGTAAGAATGGAAATTGGTATAATTGCATGAGACAATCATCTGGAAGTACCTAGAAAAGCAGAGGATATACACAGCGTTAACTCAGGAATTTTATTTCTACATATATATCTGATTCACGTTTTCACATGTGCACCTGGATATGTGTGGGGCTTCTTAAAGCCATTAATATAATGTTATGTTTTGTGATTCTTTAAGAGAGAATTCTCAGGGGCTGAGCATATAAAACAAATGAGAAAAGTGGGTCAAATGTAAGATATTAAGGAACAATATGAACACTTGCTCCATGTGAGAGCATAATTATCTGTAGGGTGTTAGCTTAATTTAGTCATATATTTCATTTTTTATATTTATTTATTTATTTTTAAAGATTTATTTATTTATTTATTTATTCATGATAGACAGAGAGAGAGAGAGAGAGAGAGAGAGAGGCAGAGACACAGGAGGAGGGAGAAGCAGGCTCCATGCAGGGAGCCCAATGTGGGACTGGATCCCAGGACCCAGAATCGCACCCTGGGCCAAAGGCAGGCACCAAACTGCTGAGCCACCCAGGGATCCCCCATATATTTCATTTTTTAAAGAGGAGCTGTACTTCTGTGTTGTTAGGTAAAATTTCACTTTTTATTCATTTGAAATCTCTTTCAAAATTCATTTTTAATTTCCT